ATAAAATAAACTTGAACAATAAATAAAGAGTAATAATGAATATACTCAAAAATTCCTCTTGTATATATATATCATTGAATACATACCCAGTAACGCCCTCAAAATAATACATAAAACCCACCACTATAGACATGTATTGATACAAAAGAAACCAACCATTTATATTCATTAGAGTAATTCTTACAACAGTATTACATGTTAACAACAAAAGCAAATGCCCTATGGGCTTACAACTTTCCAAGTCAACACCTGGTTACACAAAAGAAGAGTACTAACTCTATACAAAATAAGCCCTTGGCTTGATATACATGTAATACAAACAAAATAAACAAAAACAAGAGTTTTCAACTCTCATCATCATCCAAGTTATGTCCTTGGAGGTGGCATACTACCTGTACCTGAAAATAATGTCCCATATAGGGTAAGCCAATGCCTAGTAGAAATATGTTAAACACAATATGAGCAATAACTAAGACATTAGCAATTGATAAATGTTCAATTTCCATAAACCAATTCATAACCCATTTCCATTTCATGGCCACTATGTTCATGTTTCATTTCAGTTTCCATTTCTTATTAATTTCACAATTTACATCAACGGCTCAGAACCTGGCCAACCACTTATATGAGACAGTGACTCATATTAAACGTTACCCATTTTACGATAGATAAACATACTAGTTGTATCAACATCTCAACAGATAAGCATACAAGCTGTATCCACCTTTCAACAGATATGCATATTAGCTATATCAACACTTCCAAAGATAAGCATATGAGCTGTATCAACACTTCCATAGATAAGCATATGAGCTATATCAACACGTTAACTGACAAGCATATGAGCTGTATCAGTGGAGTCCATCCCCTATCTCCTCCCAAACAACATCCGGTTTAGAGGTCCATCCCCTATCTTCTCCTAAACTGTGGAGTACATCCCCTATCTCCTCCCACACACACACCGTATATACACATAGGTCATATACACAATCAATCAATACATAATGCTAATGTATTCTATCAACCGTCATACTCTATGACATATCCAATTGATTAGTTTTAGTTTGCCTAATCATCATGCATCGACTACAACAATCAAAACTACCCTTCACCGGTAGCCCAAGCAATTATTTCTAAACAGATAATAAAAGCTCCCACAGATAAAATATCAACGTTTTCAAAAGTGAGCGATTAATAAATCCAACTCCACTATTCTACTATATAATGAGCCAATTTCATTATTTCCAACTCACTTCCATATAACCACAATTTTCCCAAATTAATCATACCAATTAATTTATACAACCATTTAGGGTTTTCTACCCCATTATCCAATATTGACCCAATGGTCTATATATCAACAACCAACAACAATATCATTATTTTGAAACCCACAATACACATTTTAGAATCAAAATAACAAAACCCTCTTTTAACATTTTGAAACCCTAAGTCCCAAAATTACCCAACTTCAACACTTTATCAAAACAACCAAAAATCTATGTCAAAGATCGTAAGAGTGTGTAGGAATCCCTACCTCAAAAGATGACACCCAACGAAGAAGATGACGAAAACGAAGTTGCTCCAAATCATAAGTTTCTCGGATCAAAATGTAGCCCTCGATGATCAACCCAACTTTTACGAAGGCCAAAGGTGAGAAAACAACTCCTACTAGATCAATACTTAGAGAGAAGTTTGAGTTTTAGAGTAAGGTGCTCTCTAATGGCTTTTTCGGAAAAGTAAGAGAGAGAGAGAATGAGAGAAAGTGACTTAAAAATGCCCCACAGCCAACTGATATACGACATTCCCGCTCGAGCGAAAAACACAACGCTCGAGCGTCAAGAACAAAAACTAGGTCCGCTCGAGCGCAAGAAAACCCGCTCGAGCGCCAAGACACAAGAATAAAGCACATCCGCTCGAGCGTGAAAACCAGTCCGCTCGAGCGTAGATTTTCATCTCCCAGAACCTTTCAGAAAAAGAACTACCCGCTCGAGCTCCAACAAGATCGCTCGAGCGTAGTAAACCCGCTCGAGCATAGAAAACACACCTGCAGAAGTTTTTGTAGGGACACAAAATACTGGAAGGGTGTAAACCACGCTCGAGCAGACCAGACAAAAATTGGGCAACAACAATGGGAGCCAAAACTCTACCAACCTGTAACAACCAAGCCCAACACAACCTATAACTCAAACAAATGGAATCAAAGGACGACAACAAGGTAGATACAACTACCAGCTCCATGGAACCAAAGTCCGGAATACAACAGATACAAAAAGGGAAAATCGGGATCGCTATAACCTTCCCCCCTTAAAGAATTTCGTCCCCGAAATTAAATACAGGTTTTTCAAAAACAAAATTTTCTCAATTCCCAACATTATTACAATGTGAAATTTAACAACTCAACCCATTATCGGTCTTTCCATCTCTATTCAAGACACAATTTACACATATCTCGATATGTATCAACAACATGCTTTTCCGAAATTCAATAATTTCTACATACATGTTTCACAATTTTCTATCATATTCAACATCCATGATATATCTTCATTTCTACAATATATTGAACACATGCAACGTTATAACAAATTTCCATTAACCAAAACATCCACAATGTTTTACAACTTAAGACATATATAATGCTCTTAAAGTTCAACGATATTACAAAATTACCAATGCATGGTTACACATCAACAAACAAGTCCGGATATTTCTCGCGGACTTCCAACTCACGTTCCCAAGTGACTTCCTCCACTCCATGATGTTTCCACAAAACCTTTGCCAAGGGAATGGTCTTGCCTCGTAAGACTTGATCCCTCCTATCCAAGACCCGCACGGTCTCTTCCCATATGAGGTATCCTCATCAACCTCTAAGTCGGTCCAATCTAATACATGCGACGGATCCGGCTCATACTTTCGAAGCATACTAACATGAAACACGTCATGTACTCCGGACAACTGCAGTAGCAAAGCTAAACGGTAGGCAACCTCCCCAATCCTTTCAAAGATCTCGAAAGGGCCAATAAACCGAGGGGACAACTTCCCACTTTTCCCATACCATGGCGCGGGCCGCCTCGCACCTCCTTTTCAGTCCTTAGTGGTGGCATTTCTAAGATGGCCCTGATCTTTGAAGGGTCGACCTCGATGCCAAGCCTCTCTTCTTTTCCATTTTGAGAGAGCTTCTCTCTATATGTCTCTTGTAAAGCTTACAAGACAAGCTTTGCAAGAGGGAGATCCCTCCATACACGTGTATGGAGGGGAGCAAAAGCTATACAGCTGTCTAAAAATATCTGCAAAAGCAGATGAACAGCAATCGGCCGGCAAAAAATGCCATCTTGGCCAAACAAAGTGCCGACCGGCACAAAATAGTGCTGACCGGCAACAAAGAATGCCGGCCGGCAAACTATATTGCCGGTGGCAGCAAAAATCAGCCGGTGGCACCTAGCCACTGCCGGTGATGGGTGGGGATGGTCTACAAGCCCCACCCTGCCCTTCCAAGGCAGGATGCAAGTGTTTGGTGCAAAACCAGACACTAAACGGTCGAGTTCGGGGATCCTGAGGCAAGGCGCGTGAGCCGAGACCTCCGGGAACTCCAAACGAGCACAAACATGGATAATCACCGAGTGTTCAAACGGTGACATCCAAGTCTTGAGGACGGTCAAAAATGGGGTGTCTACAGTAGCCTTTTGTCGTCCCTCTTGTTGGAAAAATAATGTTTTTTGGGTGACTTTAATACAATATTAAAGTGGGTGCCAAACCTCAATTGAGGTGGATTAAAGTGAGTTTAGATTCTTTGTAGTGAGATTTTTGTACCACAAAAAGAATGACCAAAAACCATTAAGATTTAAATAAGAAATTGACTCATTAAGTTGGCCTCATGAAAGAGGTGTTGGGAAATGTGTAAAACCTTGTACCCTACATTGATTGTAGAGGAGAGCATTGATGGGTATTTATATACCATTTTTTGCATAAGGGTATAAGCTCTTTGGGGCATCCAAATTTTCTGAAGCAAGAGAGTTATGGATGCTTCAAGGATGGAATTGGGCCAAGACTATGGTCCAAGTTGGTTATGCAAAAATTACCAAACGCCCGCCCGCGGGCCGTCCCCTACCCGAACCGGACCTGGCCAGGTCCAGGTTCGTGGATCTTGGACCTTGGAACTTGGGCTTGGGCTTGGGCTTGCTGGAATGTATTGAGTGTGGGTGCATCTTAATTTTTTGGGCCAAATCAGATGTGTGGGCAGTAGGAATATGTACACAAAACCTAGTCTCCTCTATTGATGATGGAATTAAACCCATTAATTTTGTAGAATTAATTCAGGTTAATACAGAATTAATTCCTACATTTGTTGCAGGGGAGCCTCTTCCTCTCTCATACTTCCATGTGTATAAAATGAGGCATTCTCCTTATGCTTTCAACACCAGAAATTGTTTTTATTCCAGTCTTTCAAAAGTTTTCTAGTTATATTATTTTCTTCCTATAAGAGAGTGTTGCAAAGTTCTATTCACCGAAGCTATTCAGTCGGTGCATTGCGTAGCTGGTCCAACCGTCGTATCTTGGGAGACAGATGTCGAACAACCTCCAGCACCCAACCGGTGAGGCGACAAATCTGTTTTAAGGACACTGTCTAGTGCAAGCTTTGGTTTGCTTCTTTTTGCTAGTTTTATTTTATTATGAATTTCTATAAATTCAAGCATGTTCTTGTTCTGAAATTCTATTTGTTTGTTCAATATGAATTTATTTGTTTTATGTTATCATACAATTTTTACAACACCTCTATCGTGGAATTTGCTAGGAAAATTAAAGAAGAGCAAGAGAGCAATGGAAGCAGTTGGCTAGAAGTGCTAATTAGGAATGTTTCGAGTGATGAAGGAATATTAAAAAGGATCTAGAAGCGACGCTGGAAGTGCTTCTGGTGGGTCCTTGTGGGTCTTTTTTAATATTCATGCGTCACTTGAAGCATTCCTAATCAGCACTTCCAACCAACTGTTTCCATTGCTCTATTGCTCTTCTTTAATTTTCCTGGCAGATTCCACGATAGGGGGACGACAATAGGCTATTGTAATCATTTGTAGAGTGAGTATATCTCCCAAACTAGATGGTATTTCCTCAAGATTGTCACACGATTCCAGCAATAAGTGACGAAGACTTGGAAAGTAACTAGAGCAGGTGATCCATTGCTCAACATTGAGGCACTTTAGTTTCAAGAATTTGAGTAGAGGAAAACCCCTATCATTTGTTGCCCATTGCAGTCCCCAACAAGCCTCACTTTCTAATTTGAGAAGCTCAAGGTTGGGTAACAACATCCTAAGGATTGATATTGTACCTGTATTTGTCAAGGTTAGCCTCTTAATATTTGTAGGAAACTTAACCCCTTGGAAAGTGGTTGGTTGACTGCAAAAATTGTTGTATAGCTTCAAAGTCTCAGGGTGTCTTAAAAAGTCTATATTAGGAAACATCCAATGCCCTAAATATGATATCATAGGCCCATGAAATCCTAGCTTTGTCAGATAAGGAGTCCTTGCCAATAAATCCTAAATAGCTCCACAAGGTTTTAAGTTTGTGATGGTTCGTAAGTTTTCTAATATAGAGGGACAACTATGATCCATTGCTGAACTTAAAGACACAGAATATTTCTCTTCTTTAGTATAAAGATTCCTCAACTTCGGAATCTTCCACACATTACGTGACAGAGTAACCTCAGACATAGATGCAAAATGAATAAGGGTATCTAGGTTTGCGAGATTGGATATTGGCAGCGGTAATTGAACTGAACCCCCCACCGTAATTGCCAAATACCTCAAATTAACATGTTCTAATTTTCTTGAAAATAAGCCATAGACACACCATAAGTCCAATACTCTAAGAAGTTTGAAGGTCTCACAAATAAACAGCAAACCATTTAACACATTGTTCGAATATTTAGACCCATCTGAAGCATTAAAGCACAAGATTAACTGAACAACTATTGGGAATAAGAGCCAAAGGAAACATGGTCAAATTCTTCAAAGTAATAATTGATACAGAGGCGACATTGAATATTTGTTCTCGCATGAAAAAGAAGGATAAGCGACTTTATTATTGTGAGTCTGCTATAGGAAATTAGTTTCCCTAGCTTTTTCTTCAAGCATAAATCAGACAAAAGATCATGCAGACAACATGCTTTAATTCAACCAACAAACCTTTTTCGAGCAATTATTACAAGATTTCTCTGAATTAGATCCATTAAGTAATCCTCTGCTACTTCCTCCAAGCTTCTCTGCCCATTTTTTTTGTATAAACCCCTCAGCTATCCATAACCAGAGTAATCTCTGCACCGATATTTCTTGATCTTTTGGAAATGCTACTAAATAAAGGAAGCATGGTTTCAAGTGATGAAGCAAGTGATTGTAACTCAGTGCTAGTGTGTCCAAGTATTGGTTTGGATCACTAACAATGTACGAGCTAACACTTTGGGAAATTTGTTTCCACCATGTCTTCTTGTTTGCAAGAAGTCCTGTTATTACGACAACTACAAGTGGAAGCCCTTTGCATTTTTTCATTATTTGCTTCCCAGATTCAATCAGTTATGCAGGGCAACTTCCATTTTGAAACACCTTTCGTTGTAATAACTCCCAGCTTTCTTCTTCAGTTAGAAAATACTGACAATGAGGATGGCAATTAGGTGACGCATGCATAGCCATCGCTTTGACGCGACTAGTGAATATAACTCTACTTCCATTGTGGTCATTGGGTAAATACACTTTAAGATCAACCCAGGCACCAATATCCCATAAATCATCAATGACAATGAGGTATCTCTTCCCCTTAAAGTGTCTATATAACTTTTCTCCTAGCTTCTCATTGTTCATGTTTTTATCTTCATCGGTAAAGAGGACATTAATAAAATGTAAAATGTCCAATAACATATCTATTTTTCTGCGTAATTGAGACGCATAGGTCCATGCATGAATATGAAAGTACTGTGTGATGTAAGGATCATTGTATAGTTTTCTCGCTAAAGTTGTCTTACCGAGTCCAGGCATCCTAACAATTGGTATAATGTCTAGCTGCTTTTTCCCTCCAGCAAGTCACTTTTTTATATTCAATGCCTTCTCGTCAAAGCCCACAATAATTTCTTCCTCTACCATGGTTCTATTTCCCACAGATAGGCGATCTCCATCAAAAGACTTTCTGGCTTCTAGGACTTGGATCTGATATATATATATATATATATATATTGTCATAAAACTACATCACTTCTGCCTCAATGGGCCTAATCTGTTCCATGGTATCACTGAGATTTAAGCAAAAACCAATTTTCTTATCTTGTTGCTCTCCCTCAGCCTTACAAAATTGGCAATAACAGGGTGGATGGTTTCTCCTGTCTCATAGGCCACACCACTAATTTTCATTGCCAGGTTTTCAGCTTTGCTGTTCTCATGGTGCTTCTTCTCCACATCCTTGATAATGGCTCCAAGGAACCTTAGCTGATTGTAAAGAGACTGAATTTGGTACCTCTCATTTACAATCAAATTGTCCTTAAGTTAATTAGCTGCTCCAGTTTCTTTAAGACAAAATCCATAGCAGTTCCATCCATCACTCTTCTCTCCCACACATATACACACATGGTTTCTTTACAGCTTTCCGAGTCTGATTCCGGTGTTACTATCTCAATATTTGTGGTCTAAAAAAGGATTAGATATTGGGGACTTGAATCAGAAAGACTTGTGGAAGCCAAAGTTGAATTTGTCCACAGGCTGTTAGGGAGACATGAATCTCAAACATCAAGAACCAGGTTTTGGCCAATAAGAAGAAAAAAAAAACAAAAAAATAATTGAAAGAAACAAATGGTTTCTAGAGCTTTGTTTGGTTGGGAGATTTAGGAAAAGTGAAAGGGAGAGGCAGAAAATATGTGAAATGTGAATAAAATATACTTATATTTCACCTAATTTCACACACCATTTAAGAGTGAGTTATAGCTGCCATGTTTCAGAGGATAAAATTCATGTCTCATCGGATTCAGCTACACCTTTTAGTAGTGTGAAAGCCTCCTCTAATTTTTGCTGGAATTTTTTTTTTTTAAAAAAAGAAAGAAAGAAAAGGAAGACGAAGGTGGTGGGAGTTTGATCATATTTTTCTCTCTAAATCATACATTGAGGAGCTCAAGGTTTGACTTCTGAAAAGAGTAACATGATATTTGGCACTAAATGTTCCTTTTCCACTATTCATGGCATTGCTATACGTGGTGTTTTATCTATTCACTCAACACACTTCTTTTATATGAGAGTCATGTTTACCAAATCCCACATTTCTTTAAGTAAGTGTTCTTTACATTCTGATGAACCTTTTCATATTCGTTAAAACTTTGTTTTTCATGTGTTGACTATAAGAGTGCAGGGAAAATTTTGCCCAAGCTTGTAAGTGTTTTTGAGCAGCTTGGTTGCGCTTGCAGTTGGCTTAATAGCGCCCGTAGTGTGACACCTCACGCTCGCGATCATTCTGGGTAAAACACCTCTGTTTGTCATTTCAGTTGCGACCGTGACATGGTTTTCTCCTCTGTGCATCGTCTTCTTGCTCCTGTGCATCTAGGGTTTGGTTTTGCTTGGATTTTCTTCAATTTCTTTTGATTTCTAGGTAAAATCTTCATTTCCCATCTTGATTTCTTCTAGTTTGGATGCTATTTTGTTTATTTCAATTTTGTTTTGGTTTTAAGCCCTAGGTTTTTGCCTCTTTCTCTCTCTCTCTCTCTCTCTCTCTCTCTCTCTCTGTGCTTCGTTTTGAGGGTTCGTGGTCTATGTCGATTTCCTCTTCTATCTCATTGTTAAGTGGTAAATTTCTTCTTCCATCTCTTGGTTCATTGGTAAGATTTCCTTTTTCATCTCCTCATTTTTTTAAAATTTTTGTTGTGTCTATGGCTTCCTCATCATCTAAAACGAGATCCAAGCATGTTGCAAAAAAGGGAAATTTTGATTCTCATACCTTTCATACTAAAGACCATCAAAAACTGTTTCATGCTCGTTTCACTGATCACACTATTTTGTAGAATGAAATATTGAACCCAACACTTTTGATGATCTTCCCATTCACAGTTGGTTTGATTGTTTGGAGGGTAATGCAATGTTGAATTTTGATGGAATTGTGAATAGGTCTTGGGTAAGAGAATTTTATTGCAACATTCATTCTGTGGCCCCAAATTTATCATCATTTTGAAGTTATGTGTGGGGTAAAAGGTTTGAGTTTAATGCTGATTTTGTTGATCATATTCTTGGTCTTGAACAACCTCTAGTTTGTGACTATCCTCAAGATAGGCGTGTTGATTCTATACCATTTGATTTGAATGTCATTGCCTCTACCTTATTAGGTTCTCCTTACAATTGGTTTCTCAGTGTTTCACTCACTTATAGGATCTTGAATCTTATTGTCTCATATAATGTCACACCTACATTACATTTTTCTGAAATTTCCTATGATCAAGGCTATTTTCTTCATGCTATTAGCAAAACCTGCCCATTGATGTTCCGTTAATTGTTTACCGTCACATGATAGTAGTGTTTAGGGGTAAGAAATCTCTTGGTTTACCATATGCATCACTTCTCAATAAGTTTCTATCATCTCAAGAAGTATCATTTGATAATGCTGATGATTATGAAGCATGGATACGCCATATTTCATGTCGTGGCGGTGTCTGATACAGGGACACGCCGGGTGACATGTCCCTTTAATTTAATTATTTTTTTTCAAGGGACACGGCAGAGACACGGCAGGGACACGCGTGTCCACCAAATCTAGACATGCGTGTCCAAATCTAGACACAAAGAGCAAAAGAGAAGAGTAAAGGAGAAGAGTAAAGGTCAAGAGACAAACCTGGACTTCAATCGAGGTGACTCGCCTGTCGACCTCCATGACTTCGACCATCGTAAGTCGTCGACCTTGACCTCGTCGTCGACCTCCATCCAGTAACTTCGACCACTGTAAGCCTCTCTCTCTCTTCCTTTCTCTCTCGCCTTCCGTCTTGCTCACGTTTCTCGCTCTCTCTCTGCTCTCGCTAATTAATATGTATAATATGTATATATATATATGTATTTATTTAATCTATGTATATATCCAAATAAACAATAGTATTCCATTCAAATAAATAATAAATGAAAGAACAACAAAAATAAAAAAAATAGAAATAAAATAAAATGCGTGAATTAATTTAGAA